TCTCGTCTTTCATCCATCGGTGGTTTAGCTCAACTTGTCCAGTTTTCCAGTCTATCTTGGGGTTTTCGAGCTTGAGCCAGGTATGGCCGAAGATGATGTCTTCCTTGCCGATGCTGGCGATGTAGGCTTTGACAGATTGGGGTTCTCTGCTTATCTTGTAAGATAAGAGAGCTCTTTGCGTAATAAGTGCTTCTTTGTTCAGAGTTCCATCCACGTTGAAGACGGGGATGGGTCGGGGAAGAGGTTTTGTCCGAAGTCGATGTTCTCGGACGAATCTCGGGCTGATGAAGATTCCTGTTGCGCCGCTATCGATGAAAGCGCGCGCCTCGACGTCTTTTCATTCCACAGTAATCGGAATGTGCAGAGCGCATTCATTTCGGACTACTAGAATTACACGGGACAGTGAAACGGATACGGGCAGTGGTTGCGTCGGCTCACCCTGCCCCTTCATAAATCCTCCATCGTAAGTTCTTCGTACAGCTCCCGCTTCTCGTCAGCGGAGAGTGCCTTGATTCTGGCACGGAAGTCGTCCTTCCCAGATCCTCCCTGGTTCGGCCTCCCACCCCCTTGTCGTGCAGCCGCTTTCTTGCGGCAATCCTTGGCGCTGTGGCCCTTGATGTGGCAGTAGAAGCACAGGTTCCCGTCCCTGTGGAGCTTCCGGTCGGCCTCATTGAGAACGGCTCCTAGTTCCCACTTCCTTCCTCCCGATGTGGGGGCAAAGGTTGCTGCGACTGCAGCGGCGTCAATATCCATTGGCTTGCCGTAGTCCCTGGTGTCTGTGATGGTGAGGGCCCCTTGTTCGGCGGCGTCGGCGTTTCGGACTTCGTCGTACCAGGCTTTCATGGTGTTGGGTCGATCCCTAGCGACCCTTGTTGCGAGAGCAAAATACAGCTCCTTCGGGAGTCCTTTGATGAAGTTGGCGTGGAGAGTGTGGTAGTCGTTCTCGGTGAGTCCAAATGAAGAACAAAGGCCACTTGGCCACAGGAACAATGCAACAAAAGAAGTGTGGCCGGAGCTCTGTTCCGGTCCGAATGCTCCGCAACTGATACAACCATGTGGTCACATGGTGTGGTGGCTCCCGCCACCAGGGGATCGTCCTAGGCCGACCAGGGGACTGTGGCAGAGCACATTGTGACACTTTCAATGCTAGCTGCTCGAAGCGGGTGACGTAGTTTCCAAGGGAGAGCACTGTTTTCTTGTTCTTCTGTCATTCGGGCAGCTTCATCAGGATTTGGTGTGCCTTGATTCGCGTTCCGTGCTCAGGAAATGCTTCCTCAAGGGCGGTGGCGAAGGCTGCCCAATCGGGATACACCTGGACTCCCCCTGCTGACTTCTCGTAGTATGCATCCACCCACGTCTTTCCTAGGTCCTTCCTCATCAATGCTACCGTGAAGGCGATCTTTGCTTCATCGCTAAGTCTGGTGTTGTTGGTGGCGACGAAGTAGGAAAGGACGCATTGAAGGAAGTGTCTAAGATCCTCTGCCTTTCCGCTGAAGGGTTCCGGAGCGGGGATGTCGAGGCGGAGGGGTCGATTGGCGGTTGATTGTTGAAGTCGGTATGTATCGAGAGCAGCCGCGATGCGCTGATCGATGTCTGCTTGAGTAAATGTCGTCATCGGAGGTTCAACCGGTGCGTTGGTTGGTGTGAATGAAACAGGTGGTGGTTTGGTTTCTGGAGCCTCGATGGGAACGTACTGAACATCCGGGAGTTCGAACGATTGTTCGTTAACAGGTGACTGTAGGTTTTCTGTTGTTTGTGCTGGTTCGACGTTGATTCGTAGGGTGGCGAATACGTCTTCTGGGTGAGTGGGAGGGTGTCTCTGGTAATAGCTGACAAGCTGTTGATGGGCGACGATCTGCGGGTTGGAACCTTCTGCACGAACCCAGGAGCCGCCTCGAGGATAGATGGGAGTCCTTCTTGTGGAGGTGACGAAGCAACGGTCAGCTCGGTCGTACTGGAGAAGGGGAGATCCTGCGAGGGCTGGTAGTCCCAAGGGAACCGGGTTTACTGCGTTGTTCGACGTGATGGTGGATGAGTTGTTCGACTAGGTAAAACTAGGAACGTAGCTTAGAAAGTTCGACCTTTTGATACAACGGCCTATACTCCTATATTGATGCCTGACTCGTAGACGACGAGCGAGGGCTTATGGACAGTGCGTCGTCCTGAAGATCGAGCGAGGAAGTCGAGAATGACCACTACTCCAAGCGAAGAGGAGCAGAGACTTGAATGAATAACCAGGTCGAACTTAGGGTTCGACTGACTAATGGTACAGCTACTTATACAAGTACCGACTGCGCATGGACCATCGTGTCTATGTGGTCGTGTTAGTGAAGAAAGAAACGTAGTGGTACGATACCAGGCATGAAGTGCGCACGGACCCCATTATGTAAGCTACATAATGTTCAACCTGCGGGTGAGCGCTAAGACAGGCGCCAGTATGGGTGCTAGTAATACAAGGAATAGAACGGAAAGATAAATGTTTCACCTGTGAAGTTGGCTGACAACAAGGTTGTCTATTCTGCTGGTGTGGGGTTGGTCGTCTTCAGGCCTAGGGTGAAGGGAGTGTTTGTGCGGTCTGTGGAGTTCTCAAGGGTGCTGCATGTGCCTGATCTGCGAAGCAATCTCCTGTCCTGTCTTCATCTTGCACGCAATAAAGGGTTTACTATCACCATTTCGTCCGATGCCATGGCCTTCTACCAGTCTGGCACACTGCGCTTCGTCGCACCAATTGACCCTAACAATGCTGCCTACCTTGATGGCGAAGTTGAGCCCCTTGTTGAGGCCTCAGTATGCATTGCAGCCACTCTGCCACTCGACCTCAACCTCTGGCATCGTCGTCTTGCTCATAATAACTATGCAGACGTCCAGAAGCTTGCCAGAGATGAACTGGTCACTGGCCTAACCCTCAGCTCGAAGCAGCAGCCTGACCCTGTCTGTGAGCCATGCCTAGCAGGCAAAATGCGAGCAAACCCCTTTCCTCCTTCGTCTCATGTGTCCACCATGCCTCTGGAACTCATCCACAGCGACGTCCATGGCCCTCTGCCTGTCCGCACTCACTCTGGCTATCGCTACTGGATCACCTTCATTGATGACTACTCCAGATTCAGAGTCGTCATCCTGCTCAAGGCCAAAAGCGAAGCCTTTGCTGCGTTCAAGCGCTTCAAGGCCTATGCTGAGAACCAGCTGGGTGTGAAGATCAAGGCACTCCAGGACGACAAGGGAGGGGAGTACATGTCCAATGAGTTCATCGCATTCACAGACTCCTGCGGCATTGTGCGTCGCCACACTGTGCGCAACAGGCCACAGCAGAATGGGGTTGCAGAGCGAGCCAATGGTGTCATGTCTGACACAGCCACTGCGATGCTTGCAGAGTCCTCCCTGCCTCCGTCCTTCTGGGGCGAGGCTGTGGCTGCTATGGTCCATGTCTGGAATTGTCTCCCTACTGCAGTGCGCCCTGGCACCACCCCCTATGAGCTCTGGCACAAGGGCAAGCCCAGTGTGGCGCATTTGCGCGTCTGGGGCTGCACTGCTTATGTGCACATCCAGAAGGACCAGCACAAGGGTCTGTTGCCTCACATGCAGAAATGCGTGTTTATAGGCTACCCTGACGGCTACAAGGGCTGGAAGTTCTACTGCCCTGACACCAGGAAGGTGGTGATCTCAGAACGTGCCGAGTTTGATGAGCGGCTCTTCCCTGGCCTGAGGCGCACTCCTGCCTTGTTTTCCACTCCCATTGTCGACCCTCCGACCTCTGAGCCTGTCCCTCTCTTTGTACCTGCCCTGGATCAAGGGGGGGACGACGACTCTGTGCCTGCTGCCATTCCTGAGGCCCCTATTGCGCCAATTCCTGCAGCAGCACCTCCTCCAGTTGCTCCAGTGCCTGTCCAAGCTCCTGCGCCTCCTGCGCCACAAGCTGTTCAGCCACCTCCTGCACCACCTGTGCACCAACCCTCTCCTGAAGCGGACGAGCTCAATCTGCCCATTGCCATTCGCAGGGGAAGACGACATGCACCAGTCCCTGCAAAGCGCGAAGACTCTCCTGATCCCCTCGACCTGTTTGCTGAGGAGGCAGATTTCGTCGAAGTGCAGTTTGCTGGGCTTGCAGCTGGTGCTGATCCCCACAATTTTTGCGAGGCCATGCGCTCCCCTGATGCCAAATTGTGGCAGACAGCCTGCAACGACGAGATACTCTCCCTGATTGCAAACCACACCTGGGATGCAGTCCCTCTGCCTGCTGGAAAGAAGGCCATTGGATGTGGCTGGGTGTTCAAGGTGAAGCACAATGCTGACGGCTCAATTGAGCGGTACAAGGCTCGACTTGTGGCCAAGGGCTACTCACAGCGGCCTGGCTTCGACTACACCGAGGTTTTTGCACCCACTTCTCGCCCTGCTGCCCTACGCCTTGTCCTTGCCCTCACTGCCATTGAGGATCTGGAGCTGCACTCTGTCGACATCTCCTCCGCATTTTTGCAGGGTGACTTGGACGAGGAAATCTACATGCAGCAACCTGAAGGCTTTGCTCAAGGTCCCCCTGGCACAGTCCTGCGTCTAGGCTGTCCTATCTATGGCCTCAAGCAGGCTGGCCGCATGTGGAACAAGAAGCTGCACCAGGTGCTCTCCTCCATGGGCTTCAAGCGGCTCGAGTCTGACCGCAGTGTGTACATCTATCTGCGAGATGAAGTCCGCATCATCATCCCTGTGCATGTGGACGACCTCACTCTGGCCTCCACCTCGCGTGCTGCCATCGACAAGACAGTTGAGGAGCTCTCTCAGCACTTCAAGCTGCGCAACCTTGGCCCCACCACATTCCTGCTGGGCATTGAGATCACCAGGGATCGCAAGAAGCGCACCATGTTCCTGTCACAGCGGCAGTACATCCTGGACATGCTTGAACGCTATGGCCTCACCAGTTGCAAAGCGGTGTTGACTCCAATGGAGCCTGGCCTTTGCCTTTCCAAGCAGCAAGCCTGTCAGAATGATGAGGACCGCGCCTTCATGCAGGACAAGCCCTACCTCAATGCAGTCGGCTCCCTCATGTATCTGGCCATCACCACTCGCCCTGACATCCAGTATGCGGTCTCCTGCCTTGCTCGCTTCAACTCCTGTCCTGGACCTGCCCATTGGGCCGCAGTCAAGCACCTCTTTCGCTATCTGCAGGGCACCAAGGACCACAAGCTCGTCTACAGGCCTGATGACCTGGGTGCACCCTTTGTGACCTTCACAGACTCTGCCCATGGTGACTGTCCGGACTCTGGACATTCCACCAGTGGCTACTTGGTCAAGGTTGGCTCAGGAGCGATCAGCTGGTCCAGCAAGCTCCAATCCATTGTTGCACTTTCGACTACAGAGGCTGAGTATGTTGCTGCAGTGGATGCAGGCAAGGAAATACTCTGGATGCGCAATCTCATGGCCGAGTTTGGCTACACTGTGGATGCTCCCTCGCCCCTGCAAATGGACAACCAGTCAAGCATCAATGTGTCCAAGAATCCTGAGCACCATGGCCGCATGAAGCACCTCGACCTGCGCACTTTCTGGCTCAGAGACACTGTGGAGACTGGGCGTATCAAGCCCTCGTACATCCCCACTGCAGACATGCTTGCAGACTGTCTCACCAAGCCATTGCCTGCACCCAAGGTCGCATTCTGTTGCACTGGGATGGGTATTGAGGTGTCCTAGTCTCCCTGTGGGACTTGGCAGATCAGGGGGGTGTCACAATGTGCTCTGCCACAGTGCCCTGGTCGGCCTAGGACGATCCCCCGGTGGCGGGAGCCACCACACCATGTGACCACATGGTTGTATCAATTGCAGAGCAATCGGACAAGAGCACAGCTCCGGCCACACTTCTTTTGTTGCATTGTTCCTGTGGCCAAGTGGCCTTTGTTCTTCATTTGGACTCTATTGTTCTTTCTCCTATTGTTCTGCCATGGGAATGCTTTCCCTTGCTCATGTATATAAAGAGCTCTGTAGCGACCCTTTAATCCATACTTCTGTGACCCACTTCGACTTCAGCCCCACTTGTGGCATTCAGTCCTTCAGTGCTAGTCCTGTGCAACTGCCCCCTGCGTCGCCTTTTGATAGCCTTTACCCACTTGCTGACTGATGCTCAGCAATGGCTACAGAGCGTGTCATATGAATGGCCTTCATAGACTGCTGAGTGGAGATTTCTGAAATGGTGTCAGTTGGGAGTAAAACAAATCAAATGGGATAAACTCACCTGCAGCATTGATTTTGCGCACTTTGACAGGCCTAGAGAATGAACCATCAAGCTGAGCAGCAGCACGCTTGGCAGCAGCAGCACCTGAGACCACTAGTCACACAAAAGAAAAAAAAGAAAAAAAAGAAAAGCACTACTTTTGGACTTTGCATCTGCACAGAAATATTAGCAATAAAAATGAAATAAAAGCATGAGACTTACAAGGACACCCAAGAGTGCGAACAGGAGCATCAGCAGTAGGCTCAGGCTCAGGGTTAGCATTCCTAGCAATGCTAGCAATGAACTTGGCCTGGGTACACTTCTAAACTTCAAACAGCTCAAGCACATCAGCTCCAGTGGTCTGCAGAACCTCTGAATAGGCTGTAGAACCAGGACCTAAGTTCCAGCCATCATTGAGAGCAAATACCTCATCACCAATGGTGATAGAAAAGGCACTGAGGAACTTCTGCAGATCCAGCTGAGGGCGCAGCACAGGATCAAGCTGGTTAAGCATATGAAAGTTCTGCTGCACCATAGCACGCACAAACCAGGAGAAATAGGCCTTAGGATCAGTGAGGGAAAGCCCATCAGCAGCCCAGTTGCCATGGTTGGTAGCTGCAATACCAGCCATCCTAAAACAAAACAATGAGCAAAAGAAACCAAAGAAAAACAAATACACACTCAGGGTTGATGTGCTCAGGTGTGAGCCTTATCAACTCATGATCTGGACCAGCTGCCATCCCCAGGCGGTCTGTGCCCTCAAGCTTACCCACAGGAGGGTAGCATACAAAGGCAAGACACACAGAAGAAGGAGAGGGGGTGGCAGAGGTAGGAGGAGAGCCTACATGCCAGCGCAGACCACTGAAGACAGCAAGTGCGAGGCTATCCTGCTTCACAAAGAAGCCCAGCTCCATCAGAACAAAGACTCCAGCCTGATCACCATCCTCAAGGTCAGGATGATTGATCATGCATGTGAGCCCTGCCTGAGAGTCGTTGTGGTCAGTGTGAACACTGCCAAATTGACCCAAGTCCTGCTAGAAGGACTGTACTGCAAAGCGCAGAGTCAGTTGGATGCAGGTATGAAAAGGAAGATAGAGAACTCACAGGCATCATCATCCAGCTTCTTAGTGCTGGAGATGTTTATTTGTACAGTGGGAAATGCATAGTTGACTATACCACTAGCGTCATCACAGCCAATAGGCTGGACATTGTGCACCTCAGCATTATGCTTCAGGTTCAGGGCCATGTCAGGAGTACCCCACTTCAGAAACTTGATGCCCATCTTGATAGAAGCCTGAGAATATAGCACAAGTCAGTAGGAAATTTAAAACAAAACAAAAAAAAGTCAAAACACACCTAAAGTGCACGCTTGTGCAGTTTGTGATGCCAAGTGAGGCCATCTAAGAAGATTTTGGCACCCTTTGCAGGGTTAGCCACCTTACACTGGATCTGATGGGTGGTACCAAGGGTGTAGCTACGCTTGGAACCTGTCACAGGAGTGGTAAGGTCACTACGCTCCCACTGGACACCACCTGTCCAAGTGTTGTCCCCCTGCTGAACAGCAGGACTGGCTGTCCTGTCCTCCTTAGGGCCAAGGAGGTCATCTCTAGCCTGGGTGAGCTGAGAGATGAATTCAGGATCAATTGCAGGTCCAAGGAATATAATTCGCATTTCTTGCGGAATTAAGTCGGAATTGATTGACTCACATGGGGACACTGTAGGCCTGGAGGACATCATCCATGGGGTCATGGGGACCATGCATGTCTCTGGAGAAGAGAAAGTCCCCAGCCTCCAAGCAGAGGCCACCTAAGAGAATATAATTAGGGGATTTTTGCGAAATAAAAGGGAAAAGAATTGAAATTGACTCACCAGCAGCAAGCAACTGGTCAGGAGAATGACCTAGGATGGTAGCATCCTTGGCAGCATTGAAGAGCTTGGTCATAGCCTTGGGAGAAGTGTCCTCAAGAGCTACATAGACCTTGCCCATGCCCACCAAATGGGCCACTTTGGGGTGATTGACAACTTCTAGCACATATGGCCAGAAGTCATGCTCCAGAGCCCTGGGTAAAGGTGTTTCTACATGTAGGAATGAATACACAAGTGCTACAGAGAGAGGGGACAACAGGAAGAAATCAAAAAGAGGAAATACTGACCTTTGTATGCCATTTTATGCACTGTAATTGAAATTGCACAAAGTTAGTGGGCAGAAATAAAAATAGAAAAATAGAATGAAGCATCACCTGTGGGAAGGGTTTGCAAGAATTTCTAGGAATTTCTAGCAGAGGGGGAATGCCTGAAAAAAAGATCAGATAGTGGCAAAGGCCCCTATAATGCCAGATACTTACTTTAAAGGCTATATGAAAGGAAAGGAATGAGTATATAACATCAGATATGAATAGAATACATGTACTTACCCTTGGGAACAAGTTGGGAAAGTGTGGGAAGGCAGGGAGATTGAGAGGAGGCAGGAGAGATGAAGTCAAGGGCCAAAGGGGGCAAAAGATCGCACCAGCTGTGGCTGAGCGATCAGCAGAGTTCAAAAAACCTGTCAATGGTTCTCAAGCATCAAGAACCATCAACAGGTTTTTTGAACTCTGAGTGGGCAGCCGGAATACCGGGTTTTGGGGTCCGCCCGGCATTCTGCAGCTGTGCCACTCGGGGTCGTGTGGTTGGCTGTGTGGCCTCTCCCACACCACTTTCTGCTGCCACCCCCCCCCCCCTCCTCTCTGCTCTGCCGTGTCCACGCCCATGTCCTGCCGCCACTGCCACCTCAACGCATGCACCGCGAAGACAACAGCCTGCCTGCCAAGACTGGGGCCAACAGCAGCAACCAGAGGGAGAGCAACAGGCAGTCAGGGCCCAGGTAAGCCCCCCCCAGCCATGCACCCCTCCGCCCCCTGCTGACGATGGCGCTATGGGCCGCCCTCCTGTGCCATTGCAGACGAGATGAGAACGGCGTGTCCCAAATGCGCCACTGCCATCGTCTCCAGCCCGCCCACAGGAGGGCGGGTGTGTGCGCTCAACCCGCGCCCATCTGCTCGCCTTGCCCCACTGCCCCTGCCCCTCGATGCTGCCCCGCATCATGAACTGGGCCCCCAGGTGACCCAGCCTGTGACGACGTGGGGCGAATGTGCCACCACCGCCATCTCCACCCAAGGGGCGCGGGCATGCTCAGATCGCCCACACCTGCCTGCTTGCTTCGCCCTGCTGCCCCTACCCCTCAATGCTGCTGCATCCCTACGCATGGGCCCCTGGGAGACTGTGCACCCCCAAAAGCAGGCTGCACACCTCCCTGTTGTGCTCCTCAAAGTGTCCGTCACTGGATGGGTACTTATGGGTACACAGTGGGGTTCAATTTGCAAACCCCGTCACTATGTACAGAATGGGTATGCCCTGACTCCCCAAGCCTGTGGGATTCAGTGCGTACATGTTTCATGTCAATCAGCCAAGGTTTGCTCCCACCAGCTTCAAAACTGAGAAAACCGAGAGGTGGGCGCTTACTGTTTCAGTGTACCTAATTGATACCAGTCTTCCGGGGCGCCTAATTGTACTGAGTGCCTAAGTGCGCAGTGAGCACCAATGACTTAGAAGTTTGGCTATTGGTAGTGATATGCCTGTAATTACAATAGCATTTGCTTATGAATAATATAATACTTTCTTATCAGCAATGCAAGGAGTTTCTTACCAACATTAGAGCACTTTCTTACCACCATTAGAGTAGTTTCTTACCAACATTATAGTAGTTTCTTACTATCATTGGAGTAGTTTCTTATCAACATTAGAGCACTTACTTACCACAATAAGAGTGGCTACATATGGTCATTAGTATCATTTAATCAAAGCATGTGTTTGTAGTTAATGCCCCCCATTTGTTTGTTTGTTACAATAAAATCAATAATATACCTTCTGACAATCAGTGTTATATTTGTTACTACAGCATGTAAAAGCTTTTCAGAGAGACAAAACCTTTTTCTAGTCAATAAACCCTTTATGCACAGAATGACTGTAGTTTCTTTTTGATAGCTGTTGAATAAAATAATACTTGGTGTAGTATGTATTATAGTCATGGACTGAAAATGTGTTATGAGACTCATGATAATAAGTATTTAATAACATCATTTGACTTTCGTTGTTAGCATGTATTAAAGTTTCACCTTATGTAGTTGCAATTCAACTTGCTTTATATGCTGTGGTCAACTTTTTATATTGTGTTTGGAGGCTTATATCACCGATCAAGTGTGCAAGTATAAACCTTATCATGAACAAAGAACAATCCTTTGTAATTTTGATGTTTATCATATCACAACATTATATATTCAGAGTGTTCTTATAACTCTTAAACAACATTCCTTTGTAGATATCAAAGATTTTCAAACTGCATAAAGCAAATCATGGAACAGTTAGCTAAGAGTGCTCATTACTAACTGGAATATAAGATAATGTATAAAGTGACTATCATACATAACAGCACTGGTAGTCAAGGCCAATTGCTAGGATGTCATGCAAACAGTTTGATCTTATATATTGGGAATGTAACATGCAGGCAACACATCAAAGTGTATTTGAAACATTGCCCAGATGCCAATATAACAACAAAAAATCATTCAAAACATGAGCATACTTCAATGAATAACAAATCCTATATATATACTATGTTTAAACTACAAAGATTATAAGGTTGTGTAAGCACCTGCATAATTGAGCTCAACATCAAGCATTACAGACGCCCATTGAGTGCCCACCCCAGAGCACCTTCCTTATTGAGCTCAACATCAAGCATTACAAGTGCCCACCAGCAGCCCACAGACCATTTGTTTACATGTGTTAACACAAGTCATGTGATGGTAGTAAGTATGATTTCAAACTCAGATAGCTTGTGTCAGCCACAGCATACAATCACTGCTTATCAGTGTTTGAATACTGTGGGAACAACCTTCCTCATTGAGCTCAACACCAAGTGTTACATGGAATTCTGATATAAGAATGATTCTTTGTAACTCAGAAATTGTAATTGTTCTGCCATGGGAATGCTTCCCCCTACTCATGTATATAAAGAGCTGCTGTAGCAACCTGTAATATGACTTCTGCGACCCTCATTGTGGCATTCAGTTCCTTAGTGCTAGTCTAGTGTAACTGCTTCCTGTGTCACCTTTTGAAAATAACCTTGCCACAGGCTGGTCTTAAATTGGTTTTTATGTGGTATAAGCATCTTTCAGTGACCAATAGAGCAGACACTTATGCTCATCTGAATACAGTAAACATTCTAAATCCTAATGGTCATTGAAACAAATTTTAATAGTCATTGAACTGGTTTTAATAGTGATTATAGTGACTTTGTAACATCATTGGGATACATTACCATAATCATTAGAGCTGGTTAGTATGACTGATACAATACATTCTAATGGTCCTACTAGAACATAAGCATATCTCACCCAACACTTGCATTGTTCATCGCAGTGACAGTTCTGGCCTCATTCCTTGTGGCTGGTGCATTGGTGGACAAGGTGGTGAGTGCGGTCATCTTGGTTTTACTTGTCATGGCCAGCACTGGTTTTTCCTCATTGGACAAGATGTGGATGATGGAAGGGGTTCAGGTGGTAGTGGACTTGCCTTTGCTTGTTGTCAGCACAGGGTCTTCCTCATCAGACAAGACAACAATGGTGTTGGTGGGCATTGGTTGTTTGTTGTTAGTTAAAGTGTCCATTGTGTTGTCCAGCTTGGGCTTAGCTCCTCAATTCTTGAACACTTTATTGCCATCATTGTTGGGATTTTGAGGCATAGATGGATAAAAGGCCTTTTACACTCCAGTTAAGTCTTTTGACATATCATGGTTAAGAGGTGACTGGGCAAGGAGGGGTGAGGAGCTGTTCAGACAGGGCAGCAATTATCCATAAAGGACTTACATTATAATGTTTATGTGAACAAAGGCAAAAGATGCCTCCAAGCTAAGGGGCAGTAGGTCACAGGTGGAAGCAAAGCATTGGCTAGCACCCAGTGCAATGACTGGGCACACCCTAGGCATCCCTAGCTGTGTATGTAAGGGTATCAGTAATATCCCACTGACAACATATTAAGAAATTGCGACTCACCCTTTGAATGTGTGACTTGATACAATGATTAACAATTTTGACAAACCTCAAGTATTCTTGCACAATCTCTTGTGGTCATTAGAGTAAGTTGCTATGATGTTCAGAGTACTTTGTTACCATGTTGCCATGATGTTTAGAGTACTTTGTTATCATGTTGCCATGACTTGATAAGGTCATTGAATCCTTTTATTATACACATTCAAGCGGGTTATTACAACTAATACAATAGCTTCTTATGATAATGATAATAATACATTCTTATGATGATTAGAGTGGGTTTATATAACCAATACAATTACTTCCAATGGTCAATACAGAAACATGTGTGGGGTTATGAAAGTGGATTGTTATGATGATTATAGTATGTGCTTATAGCAATTAGAGAGAGAGTTGTTATGATAATAACAGTAGGCTATTACAATGGTTACATTACTTCCTAGTATGATTTCTTATGGTTGTTGGAATGGGTCATATAGTCAATTGAGCAAATTCTAATAATCACTAGGTTTAAGCAGGCCACTGCTACGCATGGCAGGGCAATTCCTAAGGTTTTAAGTATAACTACATGTAATCATAGTTTTGTTTAAAAACAGTGATACAATATCAGTTGATCAGTTTTCAGAAACAAATGCTCCAATGCAAGGAAACTTGTGATCTTTATTAGGGCTGGCAAAGGCCATTCAAAGGAGAGTATCATTTAAATGATACTTATATATATATATATATATATTTAGTCTGCATATGTCAAGTACTTGAACATTGTACATAAAAGATTGACTGATTGTCAAGAAATGTTATATCATAAGTCAAGCCCTACATTACTATGTAATGAGCCTCCAATGCACCTTTATAATAAGCTTGAACATTCCTTGAAATTGAATAAAGGCAGTGTATATAGCAAAGACAATGATTAGCAACAAAGCGCAAATGATGAAATTGCCAATAAAACCCAAAGAAGTGTTGAAGATCAGGCACAGCTGATGGGTGTTTAGTAGCAATCAAGTATTGCTGCAGGAAGAGTTCAAAGGCATCACATAACAAAGCAATTTCCTTCCTAACTTCTGCTGAAACATCCAACATTGAATACCAAGTTTGCTGCTGAAATACTTTGAGTGCAGTGTGTACCTTGGCCAGGTCAACTGCATTGAAGGACTGTGGTAGTGCATCATTAATGTGTGACTCCACTGGGCATTGCACAGATTTTTCTGTGAGCTTGGAAGTATCTGAAAACACTATATCAGAACAAAACATTAAATATATACATGGACAAGAGATTGCCTACTGTGCAACAGCATGAGGAATATAAATGAATCTACACTGATGGTTAGCTATAAGGTTGTTTCTAACACACTACTAAGTCATACCTAGAAGACACTTTTCAATATGATTATGCACAATCAAGTTGATCTGCCATGTCATCCACCAGACAATTATAGACACTGTTTATCATGGGTTTATCATAGCAGCTTTTGTGCTATCCAAATGTCATGCACCAAAGCAGTTTGGCACAGGTATATAATAAACATTCACTTAATTGAACTACAAAGCAGATATCAACAAAATCACTTCATTTTACAACACATTAATTTATTTTCCCTCATAATGCACTATTTGATTCTTAAGAATCAGTAGGAATGTTTTGAGGAAATATTTTCATACAGATTTGAAACCCATAAGAACTAGAACCACTGAGCTTCCACTTTATCAAACCGCTGGTAAATACAAGTCAGCCATGCATCGAGATGTTTTTGCTCATGTTCCCAAATATTCAACCGGCTGGAGGATTCCAGCAACATACGGAATTGTCCATTGTCTTGGACTATGTTGACGTAGTCATCATTCACACTGAAATGCCCACAAAATCAGCATACAAATAAAGAATTAAAAAATTGAGGAAACAGATACCAAATCATATCAATAGCTGGCAACACCATATTAGTGACAGTCATCAACATTGGTCTGAGGATCATTTGCAACTGCAGAAGTAGAGGCCATTGAGGATGATTGAGTAATGCAGATAATAAAAAGTGGTGTATGTAGAAAGGATGTCAAACACCAGCAGAAAGAAGCTGTAAACAAATGAGCATGTGACTGATGCCTTAAAAAGGAAAACATGTGACCATGAGAACATCTCCTTATTTGGAAACAATTGCCAGTTTTAGCGGTATATGTATTGAAGCTCTACCCAGTAAACTACTTTCTTATTTGACACAGTATCAGTACATTGTATTAGCTATTAGAAACAAAACTCACTAATCATGGAAATAGCCAAGGTTGATAGGAAAATCCAACTGACAAATTATGCTTTGATATATGATCAATATTACAAGAGTTTGTGGTAATAAATTGATACTTCATTGATAAATACAAGCTATAAGGGTTAACTATATCAATATACTGTATCAGGTGTGATAATGTGATTGTTTGAGTATAATAACAGCCTGTATGAACCAACACGCCCCTGTCAACT